CGGGCGGCCGGGGCGGCGGGCATGCGGGCGGCCGGCGCTCCGAGTGAGCGGCACTCAGTAAACGACAGCTCGGGCGACCACTGTCCCGGACTCCCCAGTCAAGGTGCTGCGGCGTTTGGTAGAGTTTCGTCATCACAGGGCTCCTTTCACCTCTAGTCCTCGTGACAGCGGTGAGAAGTAGGGCTCTTCCTGCTCGTTTCATAGACCGGCGTGGAGACGCCCGCGCCCCTCCTGCCCACCTGCCCGGGTGAAACCGATTCCTGAACAGCGGGGCTGAGGCTGTCGTCTCTAAGGTTCATATCAGCACTTCTTGAAAATCCCAGGAGCAGGGGGAAGATGCCCCAGTCTTGAGAGGCGACGCCCGGTTCTAACTTCTGATTAAGACGGGGGATTTGTGAACCAAAAATTGCAGGTCCTGCTGATCCCAGAAAGATTCGAGAACCATTCCTTTGTAGATGATCTGCGAGCATTTCAAAAAGAACAAATCAGGGAGGGTCCGAGGGTCTGCCCAGTCAGCTTCATTTTCTTTTTTAAAAAGGACCAGGATTAGGTAAACAGTTTAGGGAAATGATGGGATTTGAAAACATCTGCTCAGGACTCTCTTCCACCAACAATGGAGAGCGAAGCGTGTGAGAGCTCCGCGTGGCTGTGGGAAGATGGTGACATCACGCGTTAACACCAGTAATTGCAGGCAGAAAATTTCCATGTACGTGACCTCCTGTGGCGCCCGCACTATGGCCGGTGTTCACTTATTAGGTCCTTCCATCAGCAACAAAGACGGACCCTCCTAGCACCTCTGGCCTCGCAGCTGTACGTCGGGGGCTCTGCGCTGGACTCCAGGCTTTGGGGTGCAGAGGCTGAGCCACGGCTCCCTCACAGCCGGCTGAGTGGCCCGGCTCCTCTGCATCATCCTGCACTTCCTCTGCATCCTGCATCTTGCTCTGCTGGCATCATCGTGTGCCAGGGACTCAGCTCTGTTTAAGCTTTGACATCACTCACTCCCCTCCGTGGGCTGTAAGCAAAGATCCTGCTGGGGCGACTTGGGCGAGCCCTCCGAATGCGGGTCAGGTGGGAATGGAGACGCGTGTCAGCCTGGAGAGGAGCTGGGTGCTGGCAGGGTCTTTTCGTCCGGGGACCTCGGGAATTGCTGGGAATCGGCTTGATGGTGACATTGACTTGACAGCAGCAACTAGCTTGAAGGCCAGTCAGATAATCCTTCAAAATAGACTACACCCTGGTGCATCGATCAACATTAGCTGGTCAACTGGTCCAGGCCCCTGACCTGCAGGGCAGTTTCTGGGGCAGCTGAGGCACCGCCCACGGTGTGGCCCCGGGGTCCTCTGCTCTGTGGACGGCTCCCTTGCACCATGCCCAGCAGGTCTGGGAGGTAAGCAAGCAGCGAAGGTTCTGGGTTGGAGACCCAGGTGCACAAGAGGGGAGAGCACTGGAACCCTCAAAGGTGAACAGACAGGAACTGAAGCCCGGAGCAGCGAGGCCTAGCAGGCACTTGCTGCGCAGCCCGGCCGCAGCTCCTGTTTCTGCCCTGCTCCTGTTTGTCAGTCCTCACCTGGGGATGCTTTTTCAATTGATTTTTAGAGAGAGAGGAAGGGATGGAGGGGGAGAGAGGGAGAGACATCGATGTGATAGATGCATCAATGGGTTGCCTCCCACCTGCACTCCAAC